TCTGGTTCTTGGGACTCAAGCTAGCAGCTTACCTGCCATCTTGCTTGTTGATTTTGGGATTCCTTGATCTTCGCAGCCTGTGAGCAAGACCCCTGCTGTCTGACCTGCTGATCTTGGGCTCACCACCCCTGCGGCTACGTGAATCAGGAAAAGCCTCCAGCCTGACCCACGAACTTGGGACAATGCAGCCTCTACAACCCCACGAGCCATTTCCTTGATATAAATCTCTTTCTACATATACTTATATGCTGCACTGGTTTTGCTTCTCTAGAGAACCCATCCTAAGACTGCAACTGAGAAGACAGAAAATAAAGTTTAAGCATTTTTATTAAGTCAGCTCAGATGGAGGCCTGGTGGTAATGCTTTCTTTCCAGGATTTATTTCAGCCTTTTACCTTCTAAACACCTGGCCCCACACTAGATGCTGGCTATACAAAGATGAGTAATATTGGGCTGAAAGAATTTCCTGTCTAACAGAGGAACAAACATGTAAACAATCACATGTGTTATGAATCATAGTGGAGGAACAACAATGGCTCAGGTCTGAGACCAGAAAGTAACAGGCTTTTTGTTTGTTTGTTTGAACATGCAAGAATTTATATGTACAAATGAACATTTTTCTTTAAAAACAGCCACCCTGGGAAGCAATCCTTTTTTTAACGCTGCTGCCCGTTTGTAACTCCTCTTCCTGATCGATGTCAAATAATGACCCATACAAGAAAATGCCACGTTACTTTATACAAACAAATAAATACAGTACTACCTTGCCTGCTCTCTTTCACCGAATTTGGTAACGAAAGTCTTTTCTTTGCTCTTTCAGGAAAGTAAAAAAATCAAACTCCTCTTTCAAATACTAATGACCTTCCACCTTTGAAAATACCTTTAGAAATATGTAGACATCTGAAGGCAATTAAAAATTTTTTTAAAAAGATTAGCTCTGCATCATCAAAATGTAAGACCTGTCAGGGTAGCTACGTGAAGCAGACAATTCTCACTTGAATATCATACAAGTTCTACCATTTATTGGGGAACGTCTGTCAAATTGTTTCATCTATAGATACACCTTTGATGCTGATGATTTTTTTTCAGTTATATCTTCATCTTCAAAACTAGCATCTGAAACCCTGGAGGTCAGAGTGTCTTCCAAGGCTGGCTGTGGTGAATGCCTTATAAACAGGAAGGCTCATGCAGGTCCCCAGTCAAAAAGTCTTTAATGAGGGACATAGCATGGAATGTTCTGAGCGCTTTAAAAGGAAGCTCAGGTCAATGTGAGAAGATGGTCCATTACTTCTCCCTCACTGCCTTAATGTCCAAGGTCTCCTAACCTGTTTTTAATAATGAAAGAATTTCTCTTCTCTACGTGACTAAGGCCTGGGGACACTGGCTCTGCTAGCTTTAGCACCCCACCCACTCCCCCTCTTCCCGGCGCTGTCTGTCTGTTCTATAGCCAAAGACTTGGGAGCTCCTCCAAGGTAAGCTTCCTGGCATAGAGCTTGTTTGTCTAACCCAATAGGGTGCCATTAACACCTGCAGCCCTACCTGCTTACTTCTGATTAACCTTATCCAGGTACAGGTCTTAGGTATGACTACTACCCAAGGAGCCCTTGCAGGCTTTGGGGTCAAATATCTAACGTGGAACCAGGAATGTGAAGATTGAATAGGGGAGGGGTGGAGAAAGGCTTTTGATGGATTCAAAGGTTCTGCTGTTTGAAGGAGTGTGTATGGTGTCATTGGAGAGTTTCAAGACTCTGTTGTTAGGTGCCGTCGAGTTGCTTCCGACTCATAGCAACACTATGGGCAAGAGAACGAAACACTGCCCAGTCCTGCGCCATCCTCACAATCCTTGCTGTGTTTGAGGCCATTGTTACAGCCACTGTGTCAATCCATCTTGTTGAGGCTCTTCCTCTTTTTCGCTGACCTTCTACTTTACCAGGCATGGTGTCCTTCTCCAGGGACTGATCCCTTCTGATAACATGTCCAAAGTACGTAAGATGAAGTCTCACCATCCTCACTTCCAAGGAGCATTCTGGCTGTACTTCTTTTAAGACAGATTTCACGACTCTACAGACTCAAATATTCACACACAACACTCCCTTCAGCAAATTCCTTTCACATTCTCCAGACACCTAACTTTAGCAGAGCCTGTGGGGGGTTAATGACCATGGAAAGCAAACTGGAGTTACATGAATGGGGATGGCTCAAACCAGCTGCTGCTTCTTTTCCACCAGGGACAAACACTGCAGTGTCATTCCCAGGAAGTGACTGGCTCTTCATGAGGGAATGACACCCCCTACAAATAAGGGTACCATGGGCTCAAACATATCAAAGATCATGAAGATGGCACATACTGGTCAACATTTTGTTCTGTTATACATAAGGTGGAGCCCTGGTGGCACAGTGGTTAAAAGCTTGGCTGCTAACCAAAAGGTTGGCAGTTCAAATCCACCAGCCACTCCTTGGAAACTCTATGGGGCAGTTCTACTCTGTCCTATAGGGTCACTATAAATCAGAATCAACTGGATGGAAATGGGATTTTAAAAAAAAAAAAACATAAGGTTGCCATGAGTTAGAGCTGACTCAATGGCAACTGACAACTACAACAAATGGGCACCCTTGTAGACACCCTATGGACCCAACCTTAGAAGTTCACCTGGACAGATTCATACTTTTTTCTAGACCCCAGAGGTTTGAAAAGGTGAGAGAAACCACATCCCACTACTTCCTGGGTACTCAGAGTGTGATACGTGGATCAATTGCTAGTCTGTTAGAAGTGCAGAATCTCAGGTCCAGACTCAGACCTACCAATCAGAATCTGCATTTAAATGAGTTCCTCAGGCAATTCATATGCACATTAAAGGTGGAAAAACAGCACTCTAAACTACAGCAAAAAGGGGACAGGATATAACTTTTTCTCATTAGGTCAAGCCTCTCTGAGATGGCAAAGGGGTGGGGTGAAGTGGACTTTGGAGGAAGATTCCACACCTTGGCTGAGGCAGACCAGGCATGCTGATTTTGGCAGAGTCCAGCTGGGCTTCTCCAGGACTGGGCTGTGACTGCCCCACAGGCCATTGAGACAAGAAATCGCTGGCCTTAGGCTACTGGTAGGTCTAGCTTTCTTCCAGTTGACCTTGGGAGCATATTTTATACTCTGATGCAAATGTCCCTTTCTCTTTTCCCGAAGTAAGGACTTTCAGAGGGTGGAGGAATTTTGCTGTAAAGGGAGAACTGGATCAGAGTTCCCTATAAACAAACCCGTTGCCCTGCAGTTGATTCCTACTCATAGCAACCCTATGGGACAGGGCAGAACTGCCCCATAGGGCTTCCAAAGAACGGCTGGTGAATTCGAACTGCGGACCTGCTGGTTAGCAGCCCAACCCTTAACCACTGCGCCACCAGGGCTCCAGGAACAAACAGTGCAAAAACGGTCCGCTTTTGTTCCTAGGACTGCCTCAGTGCCCAGCCTGAACAGATCAAGCAGAGATTCACACCCTCACTTGAGGGAACCCCAAACTTGTCAGGAAAGGTCCTGGTAGACACAGACACATTAGAACAGAGAGAAAGCACAACAGCAACGACATGAGTCTGGGAAAGAATTTGAGTGGTACGAAGGGTCCCTGAGAACTTTTCCTTGGATCATTTCAAATACAGGAGCAAGTATTTCTCCTCTCTCTGCCTGGCTGTTTCTTGTTCAGTCTGAAAAAACCGTGCGACACTGGACAATAGACACTTTTCCAGCTTTGGAGCCTCGACGCTGTGCTCTGTACAAGGCAGAGGTATGCGCAGCACAGTTGGACGAGAACATCTAAGATCCCCTAGCAGCTCTCACGTTGTGTGTTTTGGAACAAACATACTAGGACTTCAGATCTGGCTGTGCTCACTGGCGGCGGGACAGCTGCCTGAGAAAATAAGCATGTGGCCCCCACCGGACAGGGGAAGAGGCTGCGGCCCCGCCCGCGCGGCCCGCACAGCCGCACAGCGCCTCTCAGCAGCGAGCTGGGATCTGGCGCGTTTTCCGGTAGTTTGGGAAGGAGCGTGAAGGAGGGTGGAGGGGAGGTGAGAGGAGCAAAAGTGGGCAGGAGCAGCCCGAGGATGGGAGGGAAGTGCTGAGCCTCCAGGATTTCATCATGCAAACGCGCGGGCAGGTTTCATCAGCGCCACTACGCTGGGGCTCCCGGGCTGGGAGGGAATGGCTGGCTCCCGAGCGCAGCCCAAGGCTGGCCCCCACCGGCGCCAGCTCAGCTTCCTCTTCCTCATCCACTCTCTGGGAGGTCACACGGTCCTCCCCTCCCCCTGAGCAGAAGAACATGTTTTTCTGCCCCGTCCTGCCCGCGGCCCCAGGCCCCTCCGCCGGGATCCCACTAAATGCGGAATATGCCACAGGGGCCGGTGAGGCTCTGCTGGGTCAAGGGAACACCCACAGCAACCCTCCAAAACTTCCGTCAGAGGGCGCTTGTCCAACGCAAAACTGGGGGTGCCTTGGGAACGAACAAGAACTCTACAAGAAGTATTGTGAATGGTATCCTCCTTGTCCCCTAAAGTCATTTTATCCAACAAAGTCCATCCCGTCCCCTAAACTCCTCAGGCCAGACCTGTCCTCGATCCCTGGGCCACCCTGACCCCACCCCACCTCAGAACTGCCCTCCTAAATTCCCATGCAGCACACTTCAGCATGTGGCAGTCCTGTGTCGGTGTTTGGGTGCGGGGTACTCAGCTGTCTCTTCTAGGAGGAGGAAACAAATGGGGCAGTTTGCAGCCCGGGCTCGGGAGGATGAACCCAGAGGACAGGTAATCGGGGGGCGGCCACTAACTAGTTCCCTGGGGACATCTCCGTGACCCCTGGCTGCCTCGCTGACGCCCCTTATCCGTTCTTTCCAGTCACCGCGCTCCTGAGCCCAGCACCCAGTCCAGTTGGTGGTTCCCAGTCCCCTCGCTCGCCCGCTCCATTCTCCCCCACCGCCCGCACCCGGAGCCGGCACGCGGCGCCCCCGAGCCCGCGCCTACCTCCCGGGGTGGTGCTGAAGAGTGTGCCGCCGGGGGTGGTGCTATAGTCCCCGGGCGGCAGCTGCACGCCGTCGCCGAGGACCACCCGGCGAGTGGTGGGGATGGTCCGGCTCGGGGTCTGGCTGCAGCTGCTGCCCCCGGACATGATCTCTCACACGCTGCGCCCTCAGCGGGAGCGCGGCCCTCCGGCCCCTCCCGCCTCACCCCGCCCCACCCTAGACCGCCCAAGACCGCCCCTTCCGCCCCTTCGCCTCGACCTCCCCTGGGATTTGTAGTCCCGGCGGGAGCGAGGCTCCATCCAGCTTCGCAACGCTGTCTGCACGTGAGTTCCCGGGCTGCGCCAGAACCCGGGTCCCGGGCGGTCCAGCTCCTCCGCGGGGTTCACAACGCCGCGTTCTATTGCCTGCCTTTCCTGCTCTTGAGCCCCTCCCTGCCACGCTGGCAGGGATGAGAGTGGAGGGAGAGTGTCGGGGGCGTCCCTAGGATAATGCCTTTCTGGGTGGGGGACGCGGCTCAGGACTGCGCTGGAATCCTAGCGAACCGGGCCCACTCTGGGAACGCCTGGTTTCTACATTAGCACATCAGGCCAGATGTTCCCCTCAACCCTCCATGCCTTAGTTCCTCAGATGAGAAAGTGGGGATTGGTTGATCATTCACTCCTCATCCGTTTATTGAGCATTAAAGATAATAATGAACAAAGCACGAAATAACAAACAAAGCACTTTCCCCGCCTTTGGAGAGGGTGTGGAAGAAGGACACGCAAACAAACCACTCAGCTGAGTAATAAGGACTGGACCTAGAATAGAGGTGGCTCTGTGGGGGTCGGACTTGGGGTGGGGCGGAGGGAAGAGTTGGTCAAAGATGGTACCCAGTAGACAGGTTTGAGTTGGGTCCAGGCCCTAGCACACCACCTAGCTTTTAGTAGGCTCTCCTTGAATGAGTGAGTGAATGAATGAATCTTCAAGGAGGTGTAAGAGTTCCCCAAGAGGAGAGAAAAATACAGAGGATGAAAAATCCTGTTGGGTTAGTGAACAATTTATATCATTGTGAACACATCTTGGAGGGGGGAAGGAGAAAAAGAAGTCTAAAGGGGACACTGGTGGCGATTGTGAAGAGTCTCTTAAATCTTGTTGAGGTCTTCAGACTTCGTCCTGCAAGGGTAGGAGATAATCAGAGATCTTTTAAACAGGGGAGTGACATGATTATAAAGTTGTGTTTAAAAAGTTAACTGGTGACTGTGGAGTTTGAAGGAGTCCCTGGTTGGTGCAAACGATTAACTGCTTGGCTACTAACCTAAAGGTTGGCGTTTGGACCCACCCAGAGGGGCCTCAGAAGAAAGGCCTGGCAGTCTGTTTCCAAAAGGCCACAGCCATGAAAACCCTATGGAGTGCAGTTCTAGTCTGAAATGCATGGGGAAACCATAAGTTGGAATATACTCTATGGGCAACTGGTTTCTGATTTGTGGAGTATGAAAGTGATTTGGAGGAGGATGAGACCTACTGGGTTTGGTCCCTCCTGATGGAAACTCTAGGCCTGCGCTATCTAATACAGTAGCCCCAATCACATGTGTCCACTGAGCACTTGCAACGTGGATAGTCCAAACTGATGTGCGCTACAGTGTGAAAATACACACCAGATTTCAAAGACTTAAAAAACAAAAAGCTGTTGCTGTCGAGTCGATTCCAACTCATAGTGACCCTACAGGACAGAGTAGAAGTGCCCCATTGGGTTTCAAAGGAGCACCTGGTGGATTCCAACTGCCAGCCTTTTGGTTAGCAGCCGAACTCTTAACCACTACGCCACCAGGGTTTCCTTCAAAGACTTAGTATGAAAAAAATAAGGTAAAATATCTCAATAATTTCTGATTGTATTGATTACATGTTGAAATAATATTTCGACTATATGAAGTAAGTAACATCTATTATTAAGAACTAATTTCACCCGTTCCTTTTTCCTTTTTCCTTTTTAATGTGACTACAGGAGAGCTAAGGAAGCCCTGGTGGTGCAGCGGTTAAGCTCTCGGCTGCTAACCAAAAGGTCAGCAGTTCAACCTACCAGCTGCTCTGCGAGAGAAAGATGTGGCAGGCTGTTTCTGTAAAGATTTACATCCTTGGAAACCCTATGAGGCAGTTCTACTCTGCCCTATAGGGTTGCTATGAGTCGGAATCGACTCAACGGCAATGAGTTGGTTTTATGTTTGGTTAGACCTGAGGCCTGGATTTCATAGGCGTTGAGATTCTAGGGAAGCCGTCTGCACATAAGGCTGTGGAAGAACTGAGGACTGGGGGCTGCAGAGGGCTCCTCAGCTCCCAAGCCTCAGTCTCCTCAAACAAAAGTCAATTCTGACTCGTAAGTGAGTCTATAGGACAGAATCGAACTGCCCCATAGGGTTTCCAAGGCTGTAATCTTTACTGAAGCTGACTGCTGCAGAGCAGCTGGTGGGTTCAAGCCAGCAACCTTTCAGTTAGCAGCCTCAGCAGCCCAGCGCTTAGCCACTGCACCACTGGGGCTCCTTGCAAACAAAAGTAGCACATCCCAAAAAGATGGAGCCCTTAAGAGGAGCTGTAAGCTAGAAGGCGTGACTATAGCAGAAGCACTAGCCTGGGGCTCAGGAGCCTGGTTTCTAGTTCTAGCTCTGCCACTAAATACCTGTTCAGTCTTGGACAAGTCCCTTTCCCTCTCTGGGGCTCAGTCTCCTTATCTGTCAGATGAGTGGGTGGAGTTGAAGATCTCTGAGGACCCTCCGCGTTGACATTTTATGTCTTTGACAAACTCCTTGTGGAATTGTTTGCTGCCCAGCTGCTTCACCTGCAGTGATTTCCATCTCTTCACAGAGCAAGGACTTATTTATATCAAGTTTTGTGTGACTCCTATAGGGCGGGGACATGTGTTTACTCTCTCTCCACAGCACTTACCTCAGAGAGGTCACTGATAAAACTTGGGTGCTGCTCCTGCTGCCCAAAGCCAAACATGTTTATTTCTGTCTTCTCTTCAAGACTCTTTTAAATCTATTAGCACACAACCGTTCCAGCACTTTTAACTGGAAGTCAAAAGAGAGCAGGAAGAGTGAACCAAGGAATGTCTTCTAGACTCAGTGAAGAAATTAGGGAGGGGAGGATGCCACTTCAGATCTGCAGGCAGGGGAGAAAGGGATTGATTTTATCATTTTAAGTAAGTGGAATTTCTCTGGGTCCTCAAACAGGCACACAGGCCCAGTCCTTCTGGTAGAAAATGCTTTGTGAGGTTAGTAAACAGTATTGTGGGTGTTAAGAATAGCCCAGAGTGGTACTGGTGCTCCCTGGTGTTCCTCTCATTGCAGCTCTGCTGAGGTGGACCAGTGTGGGGAAGGAGTATGAGAGGGTCCCCTGGAGTAGCTGCGGGGGGGGGGGGGGGGTGGGTAGTGGCAAGAACCACAAGAGCGAGAATCTGCTTTCAGGGAATTACAGATTTGGAAGAGGCAGCCTTCTGAAACCCCTCAGGCTAGTCAGAGACTTAAGGAGACAATCAGTAGGAGACAAATTACTTGCTATGTTTGTGTGTGTGTTAATTCATTGCAAATATTATTTGATGCTAGAAATGTCCCCCGCTTCCTCATAGGGAATCTTTGATGTTAACCCGTGTGTCCTGTTGCCTGACCCCAGTGGTCTTTGGTGGCTCCTGTGCTTTCTTCCTCTTCTTTTTTTTTATCGTGGTGAAAATATATACAACAAAACATACGGCAGTTCAGCAATCTCTGCACGTAGAATTCAGTGACATTGATTCCATTCTTCAAGTTGTAAAACCATTCTTGCTATCCCTTTACAAATTATTCTACCATTAACATAAACTCAGTGCCCCCTAAACAAAAACTCCCCCTTCCCATCTCCCACCCACCTCTGGTAACCACTCGTAATCTTTGGTTTCTGTATATTTGCTTATTTCATATAAGTGAGATCATAAGGTATTTGTCCTTTTGCAACTGACTTCTTTCTCTCAACATAGTATTTCCAAGGTTCATCCATGTTGTGGCATGCATCATTTCTCTTTATGGCTAAGTAATATTCCATTATGTGTCTGCCGCATTTTGTTTATCCGTTCATCTGTTGATGGACATTTTGGTTGTTTCCACCTTTTGGCTATTTGGCTGCAATGAACATCGATGTACATGTTTCTGTTTGTGTTCCTGCCTTCACTTCTTCTGGGTATATACCTAGGCCTGCGATTGCTGGGTCATATAGTACTTCTATGTTCAGTTTTTTTGAGGAACCACCAAACTGTTTTCCACAGTGGTTGTACCATTTTACATTCCCACCAGCAATGGATGAGGGTTCCATCCTGTGCTTTCTTGTACTGAATCTAGATATGGATTCAGCCATTTCTTCAGGAAGCCCTGGTTTCCATTTCAGACAAATTCGTAGTATCACTGCATGCAGTCACGTTCTCCTTCATTGACAGGCACCTAGGCCCAGACCTTCTGGTAGGAAATGCTTTGTGAGGCTAATAAATTATATTGACGGGAATTTTTGAATAGCCCTGAGCTGGCCTAGAGGGACCTCGTGGTCTTGGTGGGCAGTTCCATGATCCTTGTCCATTCTGATCCTGGTTAGCGTGTTTGTCTGCTTGTATTCTTTCACTTCTGTTTTGTCTTTTTGGTCTGCCCTGCTTGCAGACCCAGGCCTTTAACAGATGAACACCTCCACACTGTGTTTTCAGACTTCCCAATATTCAGCCCTTTTGCGCTAATTGGCAGTGGCACCATTACACTCAATTCCGCTTTGCTTCAGTAAACTCAGTAGCAAGGCTATTTCTCACAGTAAGAACTGTTTGCTTCCAAGGATTGTCTATTAACCTCTAGTCAATTGTGAATCTGAATGTTTTCTTTAAATGATTGAGTCTACATCTGGGGCAGAAAGTAAAGAAGAGGAGTCTGGAGCCCCTTTGGAACCACCGAAGACCACGGGGGTCATAACAACAAGATACATGTGCCAAAGTGAAGGATTCCCAATGGTGACTTTGATGTTTTAATACGCTCTATGGGCTCAAGGTTTTATGTAAATTTTCAGTGGCTCAGAGCAGAGTCTGCAATCTCTCCTCACCCCTGAGCCTCAAGAGCAGGTTCTCAGGCTTAATATCCTTGTGCATTTTCTTCTTCCCATGGTAGTAAGTCAGCTGCCAACTGCTCTAGTA